GAGGTACCCTGGATTTGTGCTGCTGTGGAATAAGAAAGAGTTGTACTATTCCTTCTTACTCTACAACGTACTCTAAACCTGTGCTGGCAAAAGTACTCAGGTGTGTTAGATTAGGCCAGAAAAGATCTTACCCTTCTGTCTTTTATTCCCAGGAATCTGGTGTGTAACATTTACGCTGTGGTGTCAGTTGTACAAGCTTGGTGCTGCTCTGCTCAAGGGGTTTTATTCTTTAAGGCAGTACATAATGATGCACAGAACCTGTAAGGTTTCTGACTCCACAGTAAAGCAGAGTTTAACAACAAGAACATCTCTTTCTCCGTCATAAAACCAATACTTTCTCTAAACAGTTTCCTGTAAAACCAGATCCTGAATTCTTTAGATAAGTAGGCCATGGGCAATCAGCAGTGGCTTTTTTTTTCTTCTTTGAGACAGCAGATGGACACATTATATGCCACTTGCATGTGGTACAAAATACTCTTCCAACTTTTATTAGAAAGCATTGCTCCTTTGTTCACTTTCTAAAGCATCAAAACAACCAACAGGGGAAAAAAAAAATACCAGTTTTAAGAATCAACAACTTAAGGCTGTTGATCACAACAAAATTTTTGTTTTAAAGGTACAACTCTTTTGTTTGGTTTTTCTTTTGAGATTTTTGGTCCCAGGATGACAATTTCACCCACTGTTTTGCATGTGGCTGTTTTTCTAAGCCATCGTGTTTTAGCTGGGTGCCAGGCCATCCTGTGGCAGAATTCCCCAGCCAGGAGGGATAAATTGCCTGTAAGGTTCTAAACTTGCTGGGTTTGCTCCATGCTCAAAAAAGTCTCAAACAAAGGTAGAAAATGAAGATGACAATGAACCCTCTCAGCACCATCTGTGCTGGCAGATGTGTCCTAAATTAGGGCCAGACCTCATCCTTGCTTACATTTGTGTGAATCCATATTAACTACACGGAAGTCAAGGGAGCTGGTCTGGATTAAAGGATGTTACCCTGAACAAAGGGAACCTCAGTATAATTCCAGTGTTCCCTGAAGGAAGTGCAAGAGAAGACATCAATGCAAATTCCTATGTCTTCAGTTAAGCAGCAACGACAATTTTCTTGCTCTTTGTTGCCTTGTGGGCAATTCTGGAGTAATTTATAAAAGCCTCTAGAGTCAGTTTGGATTTATTGCTCCACGACAACAAAACTTTCAAGGAGATGAAAGAGCATTATCACAGAATCATGTCGTGCTGACATTATTTCTTTTTATAAGTGTCTCAGTTTAGAGGTTTACACAGCAGAAGACAAAAACTATGTATTTTAACCGAAAGAAAAATATGCGTTTTAATTGTGGGACAACAAAGCTGGCGAAGGGTCTGGAGCACATGTCCTGTGAGGAGCAGCTGAGGGAGCTGGGGGAGCTTAGCCTGGAGAAGAGAAGGCTCAGAGTTGAGTTTATCACTCTCCAACTCCCTGACAGGAGGGGTGAGCCGGGTCGGGCTCTGCTCCCAAGGAACAAGGGACAGGAGAGGAAAAGGCACCAAGCTGTGCCAGGGGAGATTCAGACTGGCCATCAGGAGGAATTTCGCCATGGAAAAGGTGATTAGACATTGGAATGGGCTGCCCAGGAAGGCAGTGAAGTCACCATTCCTGGAGGTGCCCAGGGGAAGGACTGGCTGTGGCACTCAGTGCCAAGGTGGTGATGGGTCAGAGTTGGACTCGATGAGCTCAGAGGTCTTTTCCACCTTGATTGATTCCGTGATTCTCTGATTTGTTTACTGACTTAAACTCAAGGAGAACAAGGGAGGAGAAAGCCCATGCCTCCCTTGGAAACGCCCATCCAGTAAAGTGGCAGCATCTAAACATATGTTGTTGATTCATACCCCTAGAAAATGAACTATTTCTTCCCTGCCCACCCCTAAGACTCTTGATCGGGAGGTAACTGCTGCGCTTCCAGGAGGCAAATAGGGTTCCAAACCCACGGCTCACACGGAGCTGGCGGCCTCCGTGCCACATCAGAGCCACCCCGAGGTGTCTGTGAGCTGCAGACAGGAGCGGTGACAGTCAGCATAGCTGCCTTGCAGGGAGTGGGTGTTATTCGGTGTTTGGCAGGTGGACACTCGGTCGGCCGGAGCTGGAGCTGGTTGGGAGGGGATGGAGGGCTTCGAGGCTCTGATGTGCTGGTCCGTGGCTGTGCCGCTGATTTCTTACTACGCGTTGCCACCTGGTGGACTCAGAAGTGGCTTGGTGCCTGCTCTGCTTTGGGAGCACTGGGTTTTGTTTTGGTTTGTTGTTTTTTTTTTTTTTTTCCCCGTTCGAGATTCCCCCTTTCGAGAAGAGGGAAGCCCTGAAAGTGTAACCATTGCAGGGAAGAAGTGCAGGGAGCATTAAAAAAATGTGGCAACACGGCACAGGCATCCCAGAATTTGTCAGCAGACAGGGAGCATCTGATAATATTCATTCACCCCTCTGCACTAAACAAAGCTTGGCAGATTTCTCTGTGCCTCTGTTGCCATCTCTGGCTCACCTTGTCTCGTTTGTTCCACTCTTTTCCTTATGCTTTGGAGTTTCCAGGGGCTATATGGAGTAAGTAAAAACCCCTGAATTTCTGCTGCTTAGGAAAAAAAAGAGTCAATAAGTTCATCATAGTTTTACACTATTTCTATTTTAAATACCAACCTCATTAATTTGCACTGGCACCCAAAAGATTCTTTGGGAGACATTGCATTTTCCACATCAGTAATTTGATCAACAGAAGAAAGATCTCAACAAATGCCTCAGGTAAACATCCCTTGTCCAGTTTAATACTAAATGAAGCAATAAATTACCACAGTGAAACACCTGAAAATCTAAGGAGCAAAAAAACCCACTCCTTGGGAATGTCAAACATTGTTTTAATAGTATCTTTGAAGGGGAAAAGTTTGGCTGCAGAGGTTCTTCATCTATAAATTGCAAAAAAACTTCCAATTAGAAAAGCTTGTGGAATTAAAAGATCATTTTCCTCAAAGAAGCCACACTCTCGTTTTAGGAGAACAGTCTTTCTGGAATAGCATCCAAGGCCAAAAGAATTTATTAGCTGGGAAAATTAATAAGTGTTTTCATACTTTGCACTTCCAAGGCATTTGGTGGCTAAAGATTTCCATCCTCGGTGCTTACACGGGGTTGTGTCACTGCTATGAATAAAAACATCCCGGAACATGTTCAGCTCCAAAAAAAGGTCTGGAAGGTAAGAACTGATATATCTGTGGTGCACACTGAGGGCATCCTATGGGGGCATTCCAGTGATGGAGGTCAGGAGTTTTAATATCAGGAAGTGTGGAACAGTTCTGTCACTTCATTTGCACAAAACAATTTCTTCCACAGTAGGTCCCAAGCCCTGTTGAAGTGCCACAAGTGCAAGTAGCAGAAAAGTGTAATTTGTGACAGGGAATGGGCACTGCTGGGAAATTGCAGGTGTCGCTAAAACTGGCAAAAAATGTACAGTGGTGGAGGTAAAGCAACAACACAAGATGACCTGGAGAGTGTAAAATGTGTAGGCAGCTGCAAATATTGCCCAGCTGGACAAGGGAGGGAAACCTTGTCTGTGAGCAGGGGAACGTGGAGCTCACATCAGGCGCTGTGGGAAGGACAGAAAAATCACCAGGAGGAGTGAACTGACCCCCTAGAGAAAACTGCAGTTGGGAGGCTGAGCTAGAAACAACTCATGTCATGCTTTGTGAGCAGAAATTGGGGGATGTTTTTACTGAAATATTTACACAACATGCTGGAGATCACTGGCAGCAATGTCTGCATAACATTTTGTCAATTTATTATGGCAAAGATTTCACTTTGTCCTGAAGTGCTGCATGAAGAGAGAACTTGCTTACAGTGTGTGAGTGCCTCAGCAGGAGGAAAAGACCAGGTGACCTGATCTCTTACTTCCATCTCTGAGAAAGGCAGGAAGGAAAATGAAGCCTGGCAACCTAAATGATTCCAGGATTCTGAACAAGAATAATGTTCAGGTTTCCTGAGAACAGTACCATCTAAATCAGTGTCATCTCTCATCCAGCCATTTCTCTGTGTTAAAAGGGTTACAAAAGCTGAATTAATAGTATAGATATTATTCTTCAGGCTTTAACCTTTAATATTCAGAACTTATTCCCTCATAATACCAGATCGGATTCTATTTTTGCTTAGGAAATTTATTTCACTTTATTTCACATCCATTACTCTAGTGGAGTTACTTCTGAGGTGAGCAACAGTTGGCCTTTAGCTACATTTTTATTTTCTTCTAATTAATGATTTTATAGGTTTATACATTGCCTAGCAAAACAAATCTGTTTTCTAGAGATACTGCCTTTGACTGTGAGTTCTTCTAGATAAGGTTGTAATGTATGTTTTAGGAAGAGAGGGAATAGTCTGCAGAGTCAGCAAAGGAAAAACTGAATTCCAAATCTGCAGCTCAAAGGAAGTGCAGCCAAAGTACCTGCTGTGCCAAGAGTGTCCTTGGGCAGTTCAAGCACCAGAAGGAAGATCAATCAGGCAGTCAAAGAATCCCACTGCTGAACAATACTGAGGAAGGGAATTAAAGGAATATTAATTTTAATCTGGAAAATACGTAGAACATGCCCTGGGATTAATAGGGATGGCAGAACCTTGTTATTTTTGATTTTTAATTAAGAAGACATTATCTGGGGAAATTATCTCCAGTAGGAATGACGAGAGGTGACGCAATTTGAGGAAAAGTAGTCGTGCATTCAGCTTCAGCTTCAAAGTAATCTTGACTGCTTTCTGTAGGAAGAAATGTTGTTTTCTGTAGATCGTGGTGGAGCAGTCCACGCTGCCTCCAGCAGCAGCTCCAACCATCTCCTCAGCTGGCAGTGCCGGAGGAAATTCCCAACGGCTGTTCTGTTTTTTGCAAGTAGCTATGCACAGCTCAGCTGCTCCTGGGTGTTTAGTTATGACATGGATGCTTTGCACCTCAGAATAACTTCACATATATTCATCTTCTGCAACCTAAGCAGCTGCAGCTTTTGACTGGCACTTTAGCTGACGGTTCCATATAGTCAACTTTTAACCTTAAAATTGTGTGTAATAGGGATGAGTTGCAGGTCATAGTGAGTTTGTAGTCATTGTTGTATTATTTTGCCTTTTATTTCTTTGTGATTAAAAAGACCAAGTATTTTCTTCTCCTCCCCCCCTCCTAGTTTTCTTCCTCTCCTGCTTTATTTTTATCCCTTTGTTTTCACATGTTCTTACTCAGCTATGACACTTGCCAAGCTGTTGCTCCCAGAAGTCACATGATAATGTGAAGCATCTGGGTAAGGACAAAACATACATTTTGCTGTAATTTGGCCTATTAAAATGATCAGGAAAATGCAAAAGGGCTTTGCAATAGAAGCCTGGGGAGTTGCAGTCTGATTTCTGCCACGGGGAAATCTTTTAGCAGCAAAACACAGAAGGCACTAACAGAAGTGAGTACGGTGTCCAGATTTTCCACAAGATGAGTAAAATCTACTAATGCAAGTCAAGCTTTGCTGGCTTGTGAAATAAAATTAAATCATCTCTTTGTGTGTGCCACAGGACTGTGTGGAGGGGTGAATTGGGAACAGAACAGTCAGATTTTACCTGGTGACGTTGTGCAGTCCTGCTTGTGCTCTCCTGTCTTCCAGCGCATGTAAAGGTCGTTTTTGCCCTTCACTTCCCCAGAACCTCTTTTTAATTATCATCTATGCCCAGGTTAAGAATCTGTTTTAAAGCACAGCCTGAACTGAGATTGCAGAGAGAAGGTGACACAAGAAAGTGACTCAGTAAGACCTAAAAAAGAAAACCAAATCCCAACAGGCAGAGGAAGTCGGTAGGAGAGTCAGAGCCCAGAGTCACAGGCCCTCCAGCAAAGCATCCTCTGCTCTGCTCTGCACTGGGTGGCTCTTTAAAAGGGGATGTTTTGTCCTTAAGAGATAAAGAATATGTAATTAAATGAAGAAAACAGGAAATGGCTTTTGCTAAGTGATCTGCTCTAGGGAATTGTATTCTGGCAGAGCGAAGCTTCATCTTCCACGATGTCCTGTCACTTTCTAGTTTAAGGAGAATTTAGGAAGATGCATTGGAGAACAATCAGATAATGTAGCATGAAAGCTCCTTGCTGTATGTTTGGTAATATTGTGCAATACCACAGGGATATCACTCATGGGTTTGAAACCTCAGAAGCAATACTTTACTGAGGACATAACCGAAAATATCAGTGCAAACATAATAGGTAGTGCCTTCTGTGTCTCAAAAAAATGACATCTATACCTCTTAAAATAGCTCTAACAGCTTCTAGAGCAGGGAGACGTGCCACAGCATTCCATGAGTTCAGGTGAGTGAAGAATAGGGGTTGAGGAATTGAACAACAAACTAACAAGTCACACCTCTAATTGTTTCTCAAAACTTGACTGGGCTGGATGCCAATAAACATGCAATATTTCTCAGTGGTAATGGCACATTCAGGTGATTTGGTGCATTTCTATAAAATCAATTAGATCAAAAATTAAGCACAAGAAGGGCTCGAATACATTACTGAGTACTCAACACATGATCTCCTCATGTTCAAACACCTTAGTGAGCAGCTAAAGGATATTTTGAAGAGAAGGAATTCTATTATTGTAGGGATGAAAAGACTGTTTTGTCAGCCTACAAATTTTCTTCTTTTTTCCCCTTCTTGTGGCTACAAACTGCACAGTGAAACAGCAAGAACAAGCATTTACCAGTTGGTTTAGAGAGAAAGTCTTCTTATTGACAAGTTATTTGTAATTTTTTCACTGGGTTTCTCCAGTTCCTTCAGGCTGGTCCTGTGAAGCCAGACTGAATGACTAAGGAGGCTCATGGTGTGAACTGAGAGGGCAATTCCAGCTCTGTGAGTTCATAAGCACAGTGAGCTAAGCACAAGAACTAGCAGAGGGGCCACATGCCTACAGCTCTAGTGCCCCAGAAAAAGGCAAAGAAAAGGTTTTGTATTGGTGTGCAGGAGATTAATCTTCCTTTCTGTGTGCTACTGGTAGGCAGGCAGGGCAGTGAGGGGGATATCACTGCAAATTCTCGACACACAAATGATTGACAGAAACGGGAGAAGCCAAAATAGAAATCCAACCATGTGTGTCAACCAGCTCCTGATAAACTTCCCTGGGTGCATCCCCTGACCTGGCTCACCCTCAGGCTGTCACGACTGTATGGCTGAGAACATGCCTGAAATGATTACTAGTCTGGCATTTCAATTTAAAGGCGGTTGATTGAATCAGCTTAAGTATTAACCAATTTTGTCCCCATTTTAGCTAATTGGGATCTCAGTAATGGAACATCCCAGCCCTTTCACATCTCGTTATGGAGACATATTTCTGGCACAGCTGGATGACTGAACTGCTGCTCAAAACAGCCATTTTCTGTCAGCTTCTCCAGAATAAATCAGGGAGGGCTTTTTTGCCTTGTTTCCATGCCTGAGTCAGCACTTGGAAATTATTCTCTGTGTGTGCTTTGCCAAGCTGTTCTTGTCCTCTGTTTTCTGAAGTGGGTGATGAAGTGCAGTGGCCTTGCAGGGAGGTGTATCTGCCACAGACACTGCCCTTATCACTTAATTCTCACACCACAGTGCCAGGAGCAATGATCACTTTGCTTTGACTTTACTCCCATCCCACACCTTGTCTTGGTCAGTGTTTTTCTGAGCAGAATCTTGCTTAGGACTTTGTCCATTTGCCACTAAATTGCTCTGACAAGGCCTGAGGGAAGGTTACTCTTTAAGGATATTTTTTTGTCGAAGGCCTGTTTTGTTGACAAGTTGCTGAGCTCCTTAGGTTGTCTGTGTTCAGGGCTGGTGACAAGTCATTTTTTCTCCAAAACACTTCCCAAGGTGTTTTTATGAGCAGCTCTAGTTTTCACACCAGATAAGGAATTGGGCTGAGCTTGCTGTATGAATTAAATGTGTACATTTTCTGGCAGGACAATATGGATAGGTTTGCACCATGTTGGATGTTTGGAGCTGTAGAGTGTATCCCTGACTCAGGAAAGGGAAAGTGGGATGTAGCTGGAGGTGGGATAACCTTCACAAACACGTGTAATCTTTGCTGTGCTGATACTGAGGAAGCCTTAACAATTGCAACATTTTTCTAGACAAGCAAATCTGAAGTGTGCTGAGGGAAGACAGAAAGCTGTATGAAAGAAGAGGTGCCAGCCGAAGCCAGCTTGTTAAGACATCCACATCTAAAAAATGCCTCTGGAAAAAGAAGCTGCAACACCTCCCCTGTATAACATAATTTGGGAAAAAACAGTCCTAGGAAAAACGAGCAAACATGTGAGTCAACATTGTCACTAAAGCTGAAGAGGCTTCTGAAAGCCAACAATGTAAATCACTTGATTAAGGAAAGCAGAGTTCTGAGTGTGGAACATTTATGTTAACTCAGAGAGCTGCTACAAATAAACAGAGGAAAAAATAAGAAACAGAAAAAACCCAAGCCTGTGGACAAATCACCCTCCAGAGATGGAACACTGGCAGGCAGCACAGAAACCCAGTGATGCTGACAAGGAGATTCAACAGTTGGAGCCAAAACTCAAATCACTTCACATCACAAACAGCGCTGTGAAAAAGCTTTACAAAACACAAGCCCAGTGCAGTTTCAGGTAAAGAGGAAAAGCTTTGAAAGAAAGCAGTCACAAAAAGGTGGAATTGGTGAGGTTATCAGTAGTCTGTTAAAAACCCTGTGCGAGAGGGGAAGCTTTCTCAGCAGTGTGAAACAGCACTGCCTCCAAAACGCCCAGGATGACCCAAGCACAGGCACAAGCTATGCAGGCTTTGGGGCCCCTTCAGTTTTCTGCAAAGACAGAACTGACTTAAACAGAACCAAAGAACTGAGGCAAAAGTAAAGAAAGAGTAAGACACAGCTCTTTCCAGAAAACCAAAGGCCCGCCAGATTTTGCCCTAAGAATAGTCATCAAGGAGATAATTGAATAGCAAAAGCCACCAAACCTCACATATTTTAGGAAAGCTTTTGACAGGCTTCAGCTTCAATGTCAGTCTGGAACATCTCAAAGTGTTATGAAATCCAAGGAAAATAATAGGCATTAAAACTTTTATAGCAGGGCATAGCTTTGCATTTTAAGCAACCATAGCTTCGGTGAACAATTTAACGCACTTAATTGGTGAGCAAATAGTTACTTGAAAGGTGAAAGTGTGCTTTTGAAAACTTTCTGTTCCATATTAACTCACAGAGTGGCTGAGGTTGGCAGGGACCTCTGGAGATCATCTTGTCCAATCCCCCTGCTCCAGCTGGGGCTCCCTGAGCTGGTTACCCAGGCCCATGCCCAGATGTTCTGTTGGTACCTCCAAGGGTGGAGACTCCAAAACTCCTGTGGGCACCCCGTGCCAGTGCTCAGTGACCCTCACGAGGTGGCTAAGAACTAATCCTCACAAGTGTGGGGTGGTTGTATTTCCAGTCAGTATGAGAGCTCATGACTAGTGAAAACTGTACTTGTCATGGATCCTAAACACTTCTTTCTCTTTTAAAATTCAGATGCATTTCATGGCATTTCATGATCTCTATTCAACTGGCAGCTGAACAGACCTATTATAGACTTGTATTTTTATGGTGTGACTCACAATTATTTTAAAAAATCATTATCCAAGTAATGTAACATTATGCATTCTAGAGTTTCTGCAATTAGAGAAAGCTGCTGCCACTCTGTATTAGTGTCTTTGCTTTAGTTCAGTGATCCTTAGGCTGTACTTCCAGCAGGCTCAGAGAGGGATTCTGGCTCACAAGCTGATAATGACGTCCAAAAATGCACCATCAATATCATTCTTTCTTTGTGATAAAGGAGCAAAGGCTGTGAAAAAGGGGGGAAAGAACCTCTGTTTTTTCTTGTGTTCATGGCAAACAAACACTGCAGATAATAACAGTGCTGATTCAGGGGCTGCTGCAAGCTGCACTAAATGAGTTGAGATTCTCTGAGGCTGCTGATTGCCTTTCTCCTAATTCACAGGGATGACTCCTGCCCTCTGGCCCTTGACAATACCTGGATCACACTGGTATTTTATTTATATCCCAGATTTCCCATTTGCTCTTGCATGTCAGTGAAGCTTCCAAGCCCACCACAAAACCACCCTGTTTTCACAGGGCCTCTCCTGAGGTGCTGCCTTAGGATCTGAGAGATCTCTTAAGTTTGAATGACTCTGAGAATGACTGCCTTGAAGGGTGGAGGGATAATTCAGGAAACCCTTTCCTCTTCTCATAATAATTTTTTTTTTTTCAGTTTAGGAAGCCTTTTGATTAATAGACTTATTCTAATATATTTTACAAACCCCATGATAAACGGGGAAGGGGGGGTGTTGTTATGTAGCTGGTTCAGTTGCCTTCTGGTTTCTGACATTTCAGGGGGGCCGTATTTGCACAGTAAAATGCCAGTTTTAAGAGACATCCCGTCTCAAGATATTTGCATTCAGGTTTTTAGCAATCCACAAATGGGAAGTGCTCTGAAGAGAGGTCTTGCCCTCAGTATAAAAGGAGAGGTCCCAATCCTTCACATGTCAAAGCATCTCTAGACAAAACAACATTCAACAAGTGATATTTCAGTAATGTAACATTTTAAATTTGGATACTTGACTGTAAGTGAAACTTTTGACTGTTCTTTGGGTTTTTTAAATTTATTTCTGTTTATTTTTTTTTGTTGCTGTTGTTTTCAAACACGAACAAAGTTTGCT